ACAATGCTGAGGTACTCAATGAGTTTCTTGCCTTGGTCTTCATTGGCAGTCAGGCTTCTCATGCTGCTCAAGCCTCTGAGCCTCTAGGCATAGATCAGGGTAGCAAAATCTCTCCCACTGTAAAAGCAGAGCAATTCTGATACTGCCTCATGAGGCTGAATGTGTACAAGCCTCTGAGACTTGACACGCACCCCAAAGTCTTCAAGGAACAGGCTTATGTTTGCCAAGCCACTTTCCATCTTATTTGAAAAGTTATGTCTGTCAGGTGAAGTCCCCAATGGCTGGAAAAAAACATAGACTCATAGAGCCACTGAAGTTGGAAAAGACAACTGAGGTCATCTTGTACAACCATCAATCCATCACCACCACGGCCACTAAAACATGTTCCTCAATGGCACATCTACAAATTTCTTTAAACTCTCCAACACTGGTGATTCTACCACCTCCCTGGGCAGTCCATTCCAATGCCACACTGCTTTTTCTGAGAATTTAAAAAAAAACAAAACACAACCTGAACATCCCCTAGAACAACTTGAAGCGATTAGCTCTTGCCCTATCCCTGTAAACTGGGAAAAGAGGCCAACTCCCACATCACTACAGCCACCTTCCAGGAAGTTGTTGTAGAGAGCAATAAAGTCTCCTTGAGAATTCTCTTCTCCAAACTGAACAATCCCACTTCTCAGCATCTCTGCTCCAAGTCCGTAGTGTTGTCTGGGGTTATTGTGACCAAAGTGATCCACCACTTAGTCTTGTTGGAGTTCATACACTTGGCCTTAGCCTATCCAGAGCCCTCTGTATGGCTTTCCTCCCCTCAGGCAGATTGACACTTCCATCTTGGTGTCGCCTGCAGGTCCAGTGAAGGACTGCAGTGGTGAGCAGAGAGCTGGAGCACCTCTCATGGAGACAGGCTGAGGCAGCTGGGCTTGTTCAGCCTGGAGAACATTCTGGGCATATGTCATTGCGGTTTTCCAGTACTTAAATGGAGCTTATAAAGAGGAGGGAGATCAACTTTTTACATGAGCAAATAGTGGTAAGACAAGGGAAAACGGTTTTAGACTAAAAGAAGGGAGATTTAGATTAAATACTAGGAGCAATATTTTTTTCCTCAGGGGGTGGTGCAGGTTGCCCTGAGTTGCAGATGCCCCATCCCTGGAGTTGTTCAAGGCCAGGTTGGATGGGGCCCTGGGCAGCCTGATCTGATGGCTGACAGCACCGTCCATGGCAGGGTGGGTAGAACTAGATGATTTTTAAGGTCCCTTTTAACCTGTGCCTTTCTATGGTCCTGTGACTCAGCCTCTGGATTTTTGCAAAACTTCACACACAGTCAGGGGAAATAACTTGCTGGAAAATCTGTCTGCATTTTAATAATATCTTGTAAGTTCAATCAGTAGAAAATATTTTACAATACTGCTTAAAAGAAAGTTACTACTGTGAACTAGTGAAAAGGTCTCCTGCGTAAGGGAGTTAAGATACTCTTGGCATGACATTTTTCCCTTGTTTGATTATATAGGATATATTAAATACGACCTCAGTGTTTAAGGTTGCTCAAGCTGTAAGAGTTCAAAAGATTTCAAATACAATTTTTTTCCAATTCATTTTGTTAAGCCTTTTCAACAATTGTAAATAGTCATTCTCTTAAAGAACAAATAGTAAGAGGTTGAATAATCCACCTATGAGTCTGTATTTCATTACAGAGTTCAGGGAAAAAATGTAGCTAATGGTTGTTGAAAGATATTTAAAGTAACATCATTGGTGCATATGCTAAAAAAGAAAACAACTTTAAGTCCAGTAAAAATGTATATATTTGTGAAACATTGATTATTTGGGTGATATAAGAGGAATCCAAGTTATCAGTTGTGTGTTTGAAAACAGTAAACTGTTAGAGAGGACATATTAAATATCATACAATTCAGCATTTTGTCCTAGTACTTTGCAGAATAAATACACAATTCAGTGAGACATCACAGTTCACACTTAAGTAATAACAATGTAGTTAGCTTTCTCTACAGCTCACTGAAAACGTGAAACAAATGGGACAAATGAGGAGCAACTCAAAAGCCAAGGAGGAGTTTGGTCTTCACATCCAAAGGCATACAAGTTCTCAAACCACCTGTATACACATGGGAACTGTGGTGGAATGAAGTACTCTGTCCTTACTGCCCTGAAGAGGACAGGAAGAAAGAACATCTGGTGGTCAACAGTAACATGGAGGAGTGAGATGCACTGCATGTGGGACCGCCTGTGCACTGTGTGCTCCTGCTGTGACACTGATGAAATCCTCTGCCCCAGTTGTGCATAATATGTTGCTCCTAGATGTGTCAAGTGGTATTCAACAGGGTCTGCCTAACTGCACTTGTTTCTTCCTTGTACCAGGCAGTTCAGATCTCAACTGAGTCATTGAAGAATTACTGTTATTACTAATAATATCTTATAATTGTATCTCTCATCTTGTTAGTTTTACTAAAGATTAAAACACATATGCAACAGTTTCAATTACGTAGGATTTCTAGTGCTTTCTAGTGCATTGGGAGAAGAGGAACTAAAATGCCCACAAGGCAAAAAAAAAGTGACTGTGACCTACTGTTTCATTGAATGAGTCACCTTCTTTTGAATAGTTAAAGTTTTCCACTAAGAAATAGTTTTGTTTTTTTCCAAAAGTACTGTGGTTGTTTGAATTGCAGGAAGCTCTTAGTATCAGTTAGAAAGAAAACCTAGAATTTAAGGTTTGGCAACTTAACAGATGATTTTATTTCTCTCATGTCAAAAACACAAATCAAAGCAAAGCAAGCATTTTCATTTGGATGCTTAAACTACAGATTCATAACTGTATAATCAATTAATATTAAGAAGTCATACTTACAAAATAAACAAGAGAGTTAGACAAAGCAGATTATGATAACAAAAAGAAAGGAGATAGAAAGCTTACCTGCATCCTGGGCTCACTCACAAAACTCCAGCATAGCAGATCTCCAGAAGAGATCCTTCCCCACTGGCAGTCAGCTCTTAAATGGGTCTGGGAGAGATGCAGCCAGGCTCCACCCCTTCCAGCAGCACAGGTGAAGGCAATTCACCTGTGCTCCCGTGGCTGACTCAGTGCTCACCTCGTGATCAGTCAGAGGTTCAGGCCGTGACTCAGCAGTTCCCATACAATATCAAAGACAAGGACTTCAAATCCCTTTGAAATTTTGCATAGGAAAACAAAATCGCAGAGTTCTTCATTGCTTGTGTACACTCACATTTGCGAAAATTACATTACTTTTCCAAAGTGCTCTAACAGTTGGTTAGAGCAGTAGTGATGCAATTTGAGTTGTGTATAGTTTGAAGATATAAACTTTAGTTAAACCAAGATTGTTTTTGCAGAAACCTGTGGTAGGAATTTGGTCTCTGCATTGTAGACCTGGGATACCCAGGAGTCTCTGGGACTCTGGGAGAGAGTCCTTTGCAGGATTGTAGCCCAGGTGCACCCTCTGTTGAGCTCCAGAGAGCTCTGAAAGATACTTTTTTTCTTACATTTTCATTTCCATAGTGTTTTCTATTTTATTTTATGAAGCTATGTTTTAAAGTGATGTGGTGATGGTCCATGGTGTAGCAAGAACAATATACACAGTACTTAATGAGGTGGCTGGCTCCTGCTCTGACTGCTGCATGTATGTCAGGGTTAATCCAGTACATTTGCATTCATTTGCTAGTTTTGCCTCCTTTACAGTGTATTATATACTGGACCAGGCTGTAGCTCATACACCTAAGATTGACGGTAAGTGCTATGTCTGTACACATTCCCACTTTTCATATTCAATCGGCCTGTTTTTTTCAGAGGTATCTTGTAGATAGGTTTCTGATAGTAGTTTTCTGGAGGAGATGGGCTAAGATAGAGAAAGTTATCCTGTACTGCCATGGACACAAATATATACAGTGTAGTGATGCAGAGGGACAGAGGAAAGCAGATACGCAGCCATGACTCAGTATGGACATTAAAGATGCAGCAAAGTGCATAGGCTAGCATGAATCCTTCTCAATCCATGTTATAGTAGAAAACTGAATAAGGGATAAGAGTCAGCACTGTGTGGTATGATACATTATGTGTGATTAAGGCTTTGCTATTACCATGCCAGTATTAGGATTTCTTTTGTCCTCTTTTTGTGTTTGCTTCGTGTTGCCTGTGACTTATTTGTGGATTAGAAAGGGCAGAGCTTTATTTTAATGTTGTGACTTAAAACTGTTAGAGCAGATAAATGTATCAGGATGCAAGAGCAGTGCCAAATGCACAGTGCACAAAGGATAAATGCAAGCTTGCTTTCTTCTGCTGTTGTATGAATTCCCTTATAAGAGGCTCCAGGAGGGACGGTAAGGGCAAGTAGCTGAGCAGTGTTACTGTTCAGGACCTAGGATCTAAGGCACTGGTGATTTCTGTGGCTGGGTGGTGTTTTTTGATTCTGTTTCTCCAAGGAAAGACCACTTACTATATTGACAGTTATTTATTTGTGTTGAATTTTTCTACTTATTTCCTTATTTTAAGGGAACATCGTCTCGTTAAAGGCTGGGAAGCTTGTTTGAGTGTAAGCTTGTTCAAAATCCAAATAGGACGTAAGACTCTGCTCTCTATACATAGGGCAGATGCTGGATCAAAATTTCTTGACCTCAAGCTCTCCAAGTACGTTTCTACATGAAAATTGGATTTGGCAACACTTTCATCAGTCACTTTTAAATTGAGCTACATAGAAGTGTCACCATTTCAACTTGTTTCTAGATGTGCTATAGTCTGGTATCCAGTAACAAATGCACAGCTGATGGCTTTCTGGTAACAGTGCTTTTTTCCCTATAGCTCATCCTTCTGCAGACAGCTAGTTTCTAGATCCTGGAAAGAAGAATAATTTATTTCTGTCCCTTGGACACTTTCTCTTGCAGTAAATGCCAACAACAAGGAGCAGGCTGACCCTTGTGCAATTAGAAATCATTTTCACTGTTCAAACACAGTTTTTATTTCCCTTCCTTTCATACAGGTTGATAAAGTGTGTGGACAGCCCAAACAACAAGAAGGGAACCAGCCATCAGGCCATATAGTGCCACTGAAGGAAGCAACTGAAGCCCAGACACTTGTGTTGGCTCATGCTAGTCTGAACAATAAAAGAAGGTAACCCTAAGCAATAGCTGAGTTCAGATAAACTCTGCCTCACAATTCATGCTTGTGGTTCCTTGTCCTATACTGTTTAAGCCAGAGGCATATTTCTGTCATCCTGTCCATGCATGCTCTGTTATTGCCATTGCTGATAGTTAGATAAATGTGTGTGATATTGCATTGCAGATCTCCCCAGAAACAACAGGCCAGACTTGATGTCTCTATTTAGCACCAAGATGTTTTTATTTCCAGAAAATTTCAATGAAAATGATGAAAGCTTTTCCCTCAAAGTCTGAGCTTTTTCCACTGTTGAATCTATGTTGCTTAATATACAGTAATGTATAAATACTCAGGACCCAGAGGATGTAGGCTTATCCCAGGGCAGAGATGAGAAGGGGGAATGGGTGGAGAAGAAAGATTGATTGCCATGACACAAAGTCAGTGATTTCACAGGGCAGAAAGAACAAGTTCTCCCTTCTCACTGGTGCAGGCAGCAAGATTCCTTGCAATCTGCCTGGTTTGTTACATAACAGGGAAGGAGCAGAACTACTTGTATTTAGGATTTTGTGCCCATTTTGGCTTCTGTTCTTTGGCTGCATGCCATTTGAGTAACTAGAATGCTGAATTATTGCCACTGGCCTCAGTCCTGGCGTCAGTGTCCTTGCTCCATGGTTTTCTGATCTTTCTTTCACTTCCCCTCCCATAGCTCCTGGATTAGCTTTCTGTAAATGTGAAGGTAGGGGAAGAATGTCTTTGCAATTCATTGATGTTAAGTGAATAGATACCAGAGCCAGCTGACCATAAAATCACAATGACATATTTCTGGCTAACATGCTGTTTTCAGTAACACCAGTGTGATTCTGGAACAGCTTAGCAAAGTGAATGGAATTGTTCTGGGCATAAGCATCTAAACTTCCCAGGGAAGTCTGTGTGTATCTCTGTATGTTGATAGCCTGGGTCCTGGTGCCTATGTTGTGAAGATGGCATTTTCATCTGTTTTTATTTTAATTGTCACGTATTATGGGAGTGTGAAAAAATTATATAGGTAGGAGACAGCAGCATGCAAAGTTTTTTTTTTGAGTGATAGCAGCACTTTTATCCTTGTGTAATTTAAAACTGAAGATCAACATTTTGTGCTAGTGCTTGGAACGAATCGTTTTATTTACCTTGTACACAGAATATCAGAGAAAAGGGCATTAAGAAAATCAATAAATCCAGTGGAAATAATCCAAAGAATGGTGGTATTACTATTAAAAAAATATGTTTTTAAAACCATAGAATTCTAAGCCTATTTTCTGTATAACTCATTGACTTCACTGGGACTTAAATCCTGGCAACAATAAAGGCAGAATTAACAGCCTGTTAAATAGTGGCCTCTCACAGAAATGGGAATTGGTGTCTTTAGTAGCATGACGGCAAATCTTTTGCACTCCCTACCTCTGGAATTATTTGAATGTTCACCTTTTAAAATGTAAGTGAAAAAGACTTTCTTTCCACTTACGTGGAAAAGAAAATGTATTTGAACTATTCTCTATGGGTTAGACTTTCCCAGACTTGGTCTGTTCACTAAAAATTGCATTACCCCAAACATCTAAAGTAAGGCCACCCTTACAGAATTAGGATTAAGTGTTACTGAAATACAGCATCAGTAAGTATTGTGGACAGCTCATGCATCAAAAGTTAATGATGCAGCCATAATTAGTAAAAGGTGCAGAATGTTTTCCAGAACTTGCAATAAAACATATAGCATAAAGTTTGTACATTGTTTCTGTGACTGTGAAACAGTAAAAAAAAAACCCACAGTGAATGGCTTCTGTTGTTTGCCATCTATCATTCAATCACATATATCAATAAAAAGTAATTTTAGGTAATAAAGTGTCATAATGATGGGTAAAATCATCACTGCAGTGGGTTGTACAAAAGGCACTTAGTGTCAGGTAACTGCTGCAGGGGACCTAGGTTATGAGAGTAATTATGTGAATCTTTCCTGGTGCTGTTCCTTCTGGAAATTTAAAAAATCAGGAGCAATAATGTCAGCCGTCTGTCAGTTTAGGTCCTAGGTCACACTGGGATTCATCCCAACTGAGCCCCAGGCTGCTTGTATGTGTTGTACACAGCCCTCCAAATGATCCTTGTTTCAAATGGGATACAGAGCACGACTCCTTTATACAGTAAGGAAAGAAAAAAAAAAAAGAAGAAAAAGAATGAGTGAACACTCCCCAAGTAAACAAAAAAAGCGATGGCTCATTCCCTTAATGCACCAGAATAGTGCATTAAGCTCAAAGAACAGTCAGGGTAGTAGCAAACCTGTGGGATGTGCCCTTATAGATGCCCTTAAAAACCTAGTACCAGTTTCCAGTTGCATACGTACATTTGTTCCAAAGGTACTGCATCTTTGCTAAGCCAATTATAGGATCAAGCTCCTTTTCCAGAGTCTGAGAACCTCTGGTTTCACCTGTTCATTGGAGCCAAAGCTTCTCAAGCATTTATAAGGTAGGCCTGTTGAGATGGTTTCTCTTCCCCGAGCTGGGCTTTCTTCTGGCCCTGTGTCTTTTAGGGTCTGGTCGGAGGAAGTTCCACTCAAGGGAATCACCCTCTGCTGTTCAGTGCAGTGTGGTCCTGCACTCTCCCTGAATTTGGGCAGCAGCTGGATCTTCTGGGGCTTTCTGCTCCTCTCGCTGCCATATGGGTTGCTATGAGATTTCTCATCTTTATTTTCCCCCACATCTCGTTCTTATTTTTTGCTAAGCAGCACTAACTATCAAGAAGAAAATAACATTAAGAAGATGAGATTTGAATAATTGCTGCATGATATCCTGGCAAATTGTCTCCTTGATTAAGCTGAGAAGTGTGCATTTTTTTAAAACCTTTTTTTTTTCATTATTCGGTGATTAACTGAGCTCATCAGTATTGGTGCTGCTGTGATTTTTTAGTGTGGAGGTTACTAAAACATACAGTAAAGATGACAAGAAAATTGAAACCATATGGTGGTACACAGAATGCACATGGCATGTACACAATCTAGATCAGTAGATTGGAATGTTGTTGCTGAGTTCAGCACAATGTACTACACTGGTCAAGGTTCAGACTCCTGGAAAATGCCTTCTGGCATTTCTTCTGTGTGCAGTATTTCCAGCCACTAAACACAGACTGGATAGAGATCTTTCTACAGAGTTCTGTTATGTTTGAGAAGAATACGACATGATGTGAAGTCCCTAATTGAAGGAAGCAAGCTCTGAAATGATATTTTGGTGGTATTTCTTTGTTATCCTATGGGCTTGCGGATATGTTTTATACGTCTTAAAATAAACAATTTCGAATATCTTTGGGAATGCTGGAAGTCAAGATCATCTATTTTAAATAAAATAAAATTTGGATCAGGCACACCACGTGGTTTTATTGAAATCTAAGTGGTAAGGTGCTAGTACAACATAGATTATTAGCACCGAACGCAAATGAATTTACTGCAGAGAAAACCAGAACATTTCTGGGTCATGAACGCAGAAGTTTCAGCTGGTCCAAATTCTGCCTGCTACAAATACTGATTTCTCTTTTTGACTGGCTGTGTTTGAAGCACTGCTTCCGTGGTAGTGGATGGCACCTGATGCTAATAGCAGGTCAGCCCTGCCCTCATTCCCAAAAAAACACCAGCAGGGTTTTCCGAGAGCTACTGAAGAAGGTGGAGGTAGTGTCTGTCTCCAATAAGACATAACTAGATTGGTAACTATTACTGAATCTGTTTGTTGGCATACTGTACTCCAGGCATTGCCATTATGCTGAAGAGTACTGGTATAAGAAAGAGCAGAATGTGTTTTCAAGTCATTAAATGGAAAATTGCATCAGGATGCTAAAGACAACATTATTTGAGGGACCTCTGACATCAGTGTCTGAAAAATGAACTTGCACTAAGTAACTGACAGATATTTTTTTTTCCGGTTTTTCCTCAGATACAATCCTAAAGCCCATATATTCTGTTTTGTAAAGTTGTTTTTTGCAGTCCTTGATGCAGTCTGTCCAGAAATGAACAATAGAAGATATCTGTGTATGCAGTCTTTGTTAACAGAGCAAACTGCTCATTGCACAAGAAAGCAAGTTCTACTCATTTATATCCCCTTTGCCATGATGATCGTTCTACACTGTTTCTCATTATTTCCCTATATAGCCTCAGATATTTGCAGTTCATCCATTTGGTATCAGTTATGGTTAATTTGAGTCCCACTGAATTTATTTTCAGCTTTTGGCTCTGTGCTGCATTTGTTACTGTGCTCTTATTTGAAAATGATCGAGAGAAACAAAATCTCCATTGTATTTCTTCAGCATTACTTTGACATGTTTAATTGCATCTACATTTTGGGAAAATCGCATGTCAATTTTCCTCTTCATTTGTTGTCTTATATTGTCCTATGCATGTGCTTGATGACCTTTCTCTCAAATAATTTTTATTTTTCTCTTGTTTCTCATTTTTTCCCTCATTTGCCTGAACTTCTGCTTCTCCCCTACTCCCCAAACTCTGACTGATGCTTATTCTCCCTGGCCTATTCCAGTTCTCTGCCTCTGAAACCTTCAAAGAATGACAAACCAAGAAGTTTGAAAAAAATCTCTCGGTAAGGATGAAAACAAAGTGACATGCTTACACTCAGTGCTTTGCTCATCTCCATTGTAAGCTGCTCTTTCAGCTGTAATCTAGTAATTGGCATACTTTTGTGTGTGCTGATTTTATACAGCAGGACATTGGGAAACACTGCTTTCTCTGCCTAGCATGTTTAGTTTTATATTGATGAAAAGTAAATGCTTCTATTGGTTAAGACTTGCAGATACAGATCTTCATTTGCAAAGATGTTGTTTTAAAATGTCAGAACCCCACTGCTGAAAACATGGAGTTAAAGCCTCTTGGGGTGAGCTGAGTAAGATGAGCTTCAGCCTCTCTTAAAGGGGCAACTTTTAACTGCTTCAAAGGAAACTGCCTTTAGAGGGCTTAAAATCTTCAGCATCTATGTCAGCTTTGCATAAATAGATGCTCTCAGGATGATTCTGTCAGAGAGGTGTCGTCCAGACTTAACCTCAGTATGTACATACACAGAGCTCCTGCTTGTGAGTGGTCAAGAGGCAGAAATACTGATTTCTTCCTTTATAAAGCCAAAAATTCCTATTCACTTTTTTTTTTTTTTTCTTTTTTTTTCCTTTTTTTTTTTCTCTTGCAATGACAGCTTTCTTGCAATGTTAGGGTAAGCTTGCTCCTTAGGACTATGTGATGACTCATTCATCTAGGGCAGGACAGTCACATGTTAGACAAATATGATGGCAAAAAAAAAAAGAAAAATTGGGGAAGTGAAAAGACTGTTATGTGGAAAAATAACCCTGTCTCAGTCTTGAGGATAGATGCCTAATAGTAGCCTTAACTTGTTACTCCCCAAAAAGTAATGCATCCTGACAGCTCATGTGCCAAACTCCACCTGGCTGCATCCTAGGCACCTCTTCAGGACAGTGTTGTCCTGCAGCCTGACAGGCAGAAGCACAGTAAACCAGAATGAGTCTTCCAGAAAGCAGAATGGCCTTCCAGAAGGAGGCAGACAGCACCGTGATAATTCTAGTGAATTTCTGTGTCCTCCTTACGAACATCTTTAGCTATCTTATATGAAATAAGCTTCTGGATGTGTGGATAGAGGGTAATTTCTTATATCACAGTGCTCCCAATGGTGTGCTGAATTAACATTTGTTTTGCTATAGTGTGCATTTTTATGGCTGCCTCAGCGAGATACGTATTATACGTATAACCAGATTATGGAGGCAGCAGTTTAGCCACAAGGCATTTTTCCATGTTTAATCAGAAATGGGTTGTTTGCACAGGCCAGGAATTTTGGTGGTGCTCCAAAGCAGCAGGCACAACCATCTCCTGTGGGCATGTTGCCAGAGTTGATGGGAGAGAAATTTCTTTCCAGCGTGAATGTGATGTGGATAGTGATTATGGGGAGGAAATGGCCCCACCACATCCCAAGGAGATGGCATTCGTTTCTCTTGTTCCATGTGTATTTAATGGCATATTACAGGTTTTGTCACTAGCTTTACGAAGCATTTTCCACCCAGGAGCTTATTGACAGTTCTTTATGTATCTCTCTTGTGTGCAGGGAAGGGAGAGGTATTTGATTCCAGTACTGGGGAAAAAAACAAAACAAAACAAAACAAAACAGCACCACTCTTTTTTGTGACAGTGTTTCTTTTTTTTTTAATCTCTTGAGGCTGTAGATGTGGATTTCTTTAAAATTTTGAGGTGTTAACATTGTTTCTTGAAACTGCTCTTTGTATGGAAGTATGTGATAACGGATGGTACACAGTAGTAGATATACACTAGAAATAAATTTTAATTAGCTTGGTTGACCTTTAATTTTTCTGTGGGATGTAAACTTTGATTTTCACAGAGGACTGAGTGCTTAAAACTTGTGTATGGTTTTGTTGGTAAATGTATTCTTCCTCCATTGCAGAGAATTCATCAATTATATGAAGCGATCCCGAACCTTTTATGCCTCTATAGCAGAAAGGCTGTGTGATGGAGACCTGGTGATGAGAGACAGCTCAACCTGCTGGAATGGAGAAGATGTTGTAGAGAGGTAATGTTTTGACTGGAAGTTTTCCCTAATGATGAAAACGATTACTACTGCTGTTTCAGCTGTTCTTAGCCAGTATTGTCACCATTAGGTTTCCCCTTCATACTGTTGCTTATGTGACAAGGGTTTTCCTAACATATATGATTCTTAATGCTGAGTTTTAGATACTAAATGTATTCAAGGTATCAAAAATATTAAATGTAGTGGAACACTTTCTTGAAGGGCTCTTTTGAAGGGTCTTTCTCCTTTTCTTTGGAGATTCTAACCTCTAAAGCCAAATTAGGAATAGTAGGAAATAATCAAGCTCGCTGTGTCAAAATACAGTGATAGTAAATCAGCAGAGAATTGTAGGTAAAGCAAGAATGTGAATTAATTAACATGGCTATCTTGTACTGGACATGAAAAAGGTGGGAGTTGAGCAACTTGCTTATCTGGTCCAAACACTGGACTGACATGGAGGGAAGATGTGCTGATTAACACCTCACTCGAGGCATAGTGGCAGTAGCTACTGAAAGATGCCTGGAATGGGGCTGAAGTGTCCCAGCCTGATGTTGTTCCAGTAAAGGTGTCAGTTTGGCGAAGCTGGGAGAGCAGCCCAGCCTCTGTACCAGACAGTGGCCTCAACCCTCACATAATTAACAACGCAAGCTTTGTTTTAGGATGCCTGTCAGCACACTGATTCACTCTCACCTCATTAAGAGCATAAATCTGGCCCTCTGACAATACTTTGCTGAGAGGAGACACTGCATCTATTTGGACATATCTATGGGTTGGATCCATTCTCCTGTTCCCATTAGCAGGTCACCTCCTCCAGTAAGATACCAAGATGTTGTATCTCTATAACTGCAGATGATACCTGGGTGAATTGTTAGTTAATTACTGCCTATTCTTGAGGTACTAGCACAGCCAGTCAATGTGGCTAGTGAATTTATAGCGTCAATTCTTAATCTGTTATCTGTCACCTCAGTAAACTATCTATTTTCAACTGTATGAACCATTTCCAGTGAAAGTCTTTGAGAGATCTCTGACGGGTGTTGACTCTGGTAAGTGGCTCTACATGTTAGCCATTAGACAAAACTGTTGACCACGACCAAGACTGGGCCTCGCTGCACTCAGATTCCAGTAGTTATTTTAAAAGCCAGGGGCTGCTTTCTGAATATGGTTGACTCTGCCACAGTGAGCTGTGTGTGAGTCAGGTTCGTACCCTTAAAGCAACAGCAAGAAGTACCTCTGCAGATGACTCAAATTTCCTTTTAGTCTGCTGTTTATACATTCCTTAATAAGAACATTGTTTTTATCCATAGTGAAAAAACAGGCTTTTCCTGCGTAGGTGTGAGAAAAATACAGTGACTAGGTGGTGATATACTGAAGGATTTCCCTGCCGTTTCCTTTGAATATTTCTGAAACAGCACTTAGAATAACAGCTCCTTTTGGAATTGCCCAAAATTCTCACCACAGAATACTCTGTGGGGGTTCCTATAAAACACAATTAATAAGTGCATTCTTATATGCTGGAAGCACTGTAGGATGAAAGGAACTTCCTAGTTCTCTAGCTTTGTTTTCTCCTTTTGTGTTTTCTGACACACTTTCCCACCAGTCGCAGCCTCCACAGGCTGAACTTTTTGCTGTCATTTCTTTTACCCTGATAAACATGAGACAAAAAGAGGCATTCGGAATGTAACTGTAGCTATTACTATTGCTGTCAAAGTGTATGTCAGTTTTTATAGTGAGGGTTGTTTGGGTGTGTGCCAGTGAATATTTTCCAGAAGTGTCATTTCATTAAAACATAGAAGTGATTTGAGATTGTGTTGGCTTTCACAATTTCCTTTTAAAGTGCATTTTGTAGTCTGTAGCAGCTCTAAAGGATAAAGTTCTAGGTTTCTGTTTTCTTCCATCAAAATGATTTTCATTATTGAAAAAATTGTTTTGTAGCAAATGTGGAATTGATTTCAGCATGGAACAGAAATGCTGCAGTTACAGGCAATTAAAAGGAGTTCTGACTCCCAACAGCTCTGCTTAAATTTTTCATGTGTAAATAATTTCAGCTTGATTATGTTTAAGATATCTGTGATAAATGCATGTCTTACACATTCTAAGATAACTTTAAATGTTAATGTTTCAGTACATACTGGCTTACATATTATTAATTGTAGTAGCATATATTAGAACAGTATGACAGCAGTGCAAGATTCTAAATTTTAATGTACAGTAATAGTAACAGTGATTAAGGCTTTTAGCATAAGACTAGCAAAGAAGAACTAGGGAGAATAACAATGTTTCTAATCAGTGTTTCCATTTCGGAGTCCCTTGTGTTGGTAATGTTGCGGTGCAAACAGCTGACTTCTAGAATTAACAGCCTTTTCCCCGGGAAAAAAAAAAAAAAGTGAGAAGCAAAACAAAATAAAACAAAATTTCTATAGTGACTGTCTGAACAAAAACACTTAGTTTCAATTTTAGTCTTCCATTTTTAATAGAAATAATGATTTTGCTGTCTTTTTTGTTGTTTTTCGTTTCTTTTTTTTTCCCACCTCTGCCAACCTGCAGATTTTGCAGAGCTAAGCGCATGGAGAGCATGTAGCTAACATATTTCATGAGCAGATTAGGAGGAAAAAAAATAAAATCATGCTTTGAGCCAGGCTGCACTGTGCATACATTTATCAGTTGTGTCACAGTACTGGTCATTTTAGGAGGCTCTCTGAGCAGCCTGCACTGCCAGCAACACTGTACAGGACCACAACCATGGCACCAGCTAGCTGGCAAATCTTAGTCCTCTCATCATGTGTTTGACAGACTGCACTTGACACCAGTTCTGCCCGTAAGAGAAATAAATCTTGTGCCCTGGTGATGCCTGAAGATGCATTTCTCTTTGCTCTTTCTTCTTTCCCAGGAAATAAGGTTAAGCATCAGCTGTAGTAAATAGCACTGAACTCAAAATAGAGCCTCAGAAAATACATCTCTTCAGTTAATCTGGTGCATCTTGCATGAACCCGAGTCTGGTTACTTAGGATGTGAAAATGGCAAAAGCCACAGTGGGTTTCCTTAAAGATTCTTGCATTTCATAGTGCTATTTGAAAGCTGAGTGATACCTGTGTTACATACAAATTGGTGCTCTAACTCTTCAGGAAAAACAAATTCAAACTTCTAAAAAATTTGATGCATGTCTGCAGCCTGTAACAATATGAAACTGTTACTCTGAAATGGAGATCTGACATGCAATTAGTAAAGAGGCTACTAGTGTTCTGTCAGCGGATCTGAAAAACAGATATAAAAAATATGTTTTTTATCTGACCGACAAGAAAATAACGCCTCCTATTTTATGATGCTAGCTCACAACTTCAGAGGCAGATGTTACTGGTATGGCAGTAGAAACTGAACCTTCCCATCTGTATTCCATTACATGTTGTTACTGTGTGACAGATGGCACCAGAGGGGCAGTCTGACAAATGGCATCTGACGTGGAAGTGTGTACGGAGCAAAGGTGTGGGATTGAATTCTTCCATGCAGAAAAAAAGTCACCCACTGACATTCATCGACAATTACTGGATGTTGATGGACATCAGACAGTGGATGTAGCGCAGTGAGGCTTTGTGTCATGCATTTCTGCAGTGGAAACAGCAATGTGAAAGACAAGCCAGATTCCAGATGGCCATGCATGGCTGTCACACCACAAAGTGAGGAGGGTCTCAATCATCTCATCTGTGCAAATCAGCAGATTATGACCAGGGAACTGTGTACAGAACTGAATGTTGTTGTCAGTGAGTTGGAAACGGTGGTGGCAGTGTTGGAATATCACAAAGTTTGCACTAAGTGGGTCCCATGAATGCTCACACAGGAACAGAAAGAACACTATATGCAAGTTTGTCAGGACCTACTGAATCAATAGGAGGCTGAAGATGTCATTTTCCTGGTTGACATCATTACTGGTGCTGAGACACAGCCTCACCACTACGAGCCACAGTCATAATGGCAGTTCAAAGAGTGGTGACACATGAATTCCACACTGAGGAAAAAGAAACAGCCCTTGGTTGGGTAAAGTGATGTGCACTGTCTTTTAGGATAGGAAAGGGTGATCTTTCTGAAACCCAGACAAACCATCCACTCTGACCACAACATAGAGAATCTAAGCTGAAGTCTCAAACTTCCAGAGCCAGAGAAGAAGATAGTCTTTCTCTTGCAACACCATAATGCCAGGCACCATGCCAGTTTGTAGACCACAGAGCACATTGCCGATGTTGGCTGGACTATTCAAAGTATAGTCTGAATTTGGCACCTTCTGACTTTCAATGAGAGATGGACTGAGTAGGCAGCATTTTCATAGCAAATGCACCATCATAGTAAGTGCAAAACAGCGGGTCACCTCCAATGATGCAGATTTTTACAAGTGCAGCATGCAGCTCTCATTCATTGCTGGCAAAAATACATAGCTAATGGTGGTGACTATGTAAAAAAAAACTGTTTTGTAGCTGAGAATTTGTTCTATCAAATAGCGTTGTTGTGGCTTTTTGTATGTTACAGTTTCCATGGAAATAAATAGAAGGCATTACTTTTGGAGCAATCTATATAGTGCTCTGGATTGGATTTTATAATGTTTAAAAGCAATGCAATAGCGGGCAAAATAAAGTTTGAGCTGCCAATAAATACATGGTAGAAAAGCATGGTTGTTTCTGCTGATATGAGGCTGTGCTTCTGGTCTGCTTTCCAGATGAACAGCGAAACACAGCTTTTCTAGCAGTCTTCTAATGTCATTTCTGGAGTTTTGAAGACAAACGTAGTATCTTTCTGTTAATGGCTCTTTTAAGCAACTTGGTCCTGGAACTAAATTCCATGTAAGGAATAGTATAGTCTGTGGGGCTAATAGATGGCAGTATAGAAAGTGCTCAGAGAAGAATAGGCTAGAACTGAAGAACTGAAAATAGTACTTGATGAAGTGAAGCAAACTTGTGGACATTGCCATACTTTAACTTTTCTTTCCTATGAGTGTGTCAGAACAAAATTTCAACGCC